GAATCTGACGTGACATGTTCGTATGAACCCTTCGTACGAACAAAAGTAAGAGAAATTTAGGAAAAGAATATGAACATGTTCTTGCATGAGGCCCATTGTGCCTAATGTGATGAAGGACTGTGTCTGCAGCTTCATAGGAACTGCTTCTGGCAGTATCACAAACACAGAGATTGGGGGGGAAGGAGAGAAAACGCCATGTATATGGTTTTCATTTTTGGACTGTTTTTTCATTTATTTACAAAAAAAATCAAAAGGTTTCTCTGCATGTAGTTTATATACTGTCTAAATTTCATATATTTGATGTCAAATCATTTCATTAGGTACATTTGTTGTGATTTTTTTCCCTTAGTAAACCTAAAAAAACTAATTTCGTTTTTGGTTTTTATTCATTTAAAACTGATAATACACTATTTTAATATGCAATAAATTTTAAATAACTGCCAGATAATGAACATTTTAGTTGTTATCGAAAAAGGTGAAAAATTATTTACTCGCAGTTTAATTATTGTCCTTTTTTACAGGTAAAATAAGCCAAAAATAACAGGCGGAAAATTTGAGCCTTTTTGACCCTTAGGTGGTCATGTATCAATTGTTCCAAATTTTACATGCAGGTTGATGAAACTGACACAAGTTATTTTTACGTCACCATTCTTTGACACAGAGTTATTTTATATTATGAAGAAAGCTGCATGATGTCATGTCAGTTTATGAGTGGACCTGTCATCAAAACAGAAAAAAGTCAAACACCAAAATTCACTGCTTGTTGTTTATCATAATTACACCTGTTCATTGGGTAAAGTTCTTAATGTTTTTAGGTTGAAACATGCAGTTGTGTGTCAGCATTGTTTGGCACAATATGTTGTGTTATAAATAAAATTAAATGAATAATAAACAAAATTAATGTCAAAAACCTCCTCTTAGCTTATTTGGGATAAATTATCACATTAATTTAATTATCTGAGCCATAAGTGAGTTTAAAAACAGGACGATGTAACTAGTTTAATGAAAAATTTGTCTCAAGTTGTCTCTAACTAAGTCTTTATTTGTGTAAGTAAAAGTATCTTTAACAGCCTGTTAAAAGACATTAGAAATCAGGMAATGGCCTCTATTCAAAAATTTCTGGGGGAGGACCCCCAGACCCCCCCTCCAGTGTGTCCTTTACACATTACAAGTTTTCTGATGCTCCTGTTAGAGAGGATAAACACACCTGTGTGTCTCTGTATGAAACTATGGCTGATTGTCAAACTATTCTTGTGAGTTTAAAGGGATGTACACTACATGGTTTAATGAAGGTGAACATAATCTCAGTTTATATGGTTTGAGTATTATTGCATCACAAAAGAAACATTTGGTGTTCAGTTTATGATGTGTGCAGACAGTTAAACTGAGCACACGTCATGTACCAGATGTTTTTCTAAAGTTCAAGATTAAATGTTTTTAAATAAAAATTTGCTATAGTGTCATGGATCACAACATTAGTACACAAACCAGATGTTGCATAATGTTTTAGATATTTGAACACAGGTAGGTCAAATGCATCAATTCAGCTGGTGAATGAAAGAACCACTCGTCAATATAATCTGATCTGATTGTAGATTAAAACCGTAGTTATGCTTTTTGGTTTAAAAGAATATCCCCTTTTTTTCTTTTTGTGCTTATGCAGTTCGTGCACTGGCATGGATAGAGGCCCACTGACATCAAGAGTGTACAGGGACCGGAAATTGGTGCCCCACGATCACAGGTACTTTAAAGAGGAAAGTCCAAACTATCCAAGGGTTCCCACCTGGTCTTGATCTCCTGGGCAGCACGGAGCACGGACTGCACCGAGCCCACGTCCAGGTGCAACAAGTCCACAGAGGAGCTGCTGTGAGAGGTCAGCAGGGCGGCCCGGGCGGCCTCGGCCCGCTGCATGTTCCTGCAGGCCAGACACAGCCGAAGCTGGGTGTCCTCGGTGAGGAGCCTCTCACACAGAGCCAGGCCGATACCGCTGCAGACAGACAACAGGAAACACAGTTACAACCATACGCATCCAACTCTGACAGGAAACATTACAGTCTGATTACTGCAGGACAAATTAAAACATAAAAAAACATTCTTGTTTTTTGTAGTGAATCAGGAAATTCAGCTAAATGCCACAATTAATTTTGACAATTTTTTAAATCAATTTTGCCCAACTCTAGTTGTTTTGTGTGTGCAGTCATGGGCTGATATGTGCAGCTTTTCTCAAACACGTCAAAGACTATTAAGAATAAAAGAAAAAACACYGATAAGAAGTTTCTCCATTGTTATGGATTAATTATGTATATCTGTTCTACCTTGARACTGTCCYGTAATCATATCTTATTATAACCAGTTTCGGCTGTTTTAGTCTATCAGCCCAGACTTCAAGACTCCAGCAATGCATGACCTCTTTTATTTTGATAAGGTGTTTCCGGGCTGACAGCCCTGTCATTGGTTAGATGGTTCACAGTTGGTGAACTGTGATTGGTTGTAAGCATGTCACAGGATGTTATATTATCGGCTGCACTGCGCTGATGAGCCAGCCACAACTTGACAGACTTCTCTGATTGACTTCTGCTCTGTTGTTGCTCAAATTAAATCATTTGTCGAATTAAATGACTTTCTGTGCATTTATTTCAACGTGTTTCTGCGTTCTTGGTAAATCGTGCCACCACATCCATCATTTTATTTAATTTTTTTTCTTTGAAGCAAAATGAGAAACTGAGTGTTTATTCAAATTTTTATTATTTCATTTCCCTTCTGGGTTAATAAAGTGTGTTTCAATTTAAAAAAACAAAATACATATTTTTCAACATCAGTTGGTTTTCAGCTCAAAGGGTTTTTCTGCCATCTTTTGTCTGGATAACATCTAACATATAATTACTGCTCCACTTCCTGGTTCATCCCGAAGCCTCAGAGAGGAGCAGGAGGATTTACGGCCAGGTCTACGTGGAGGTCTTGATGCTGACTAGGGCTGCAACGATTAATCGACGACTAATCGATTATTAAAATAATCGATGACTAATTTAATAATCAATTAATCATTTTCTTTTATTTTTTTTAGTTCTTTACTTTGTTTTTCTCTCCAAACTGCTTTGACACCTTCCACTGCCACATCTGCCTTTCTGTCCTTGACACACATGCACAGTAGTGGTAACTGGGGTAGGCCGTGGACGTCACAAGACATTATACAGACAGGCTCTGGTATCATGGCTACCTGACAACGGAGCTCAAAGTGTGGGATCATTTTAAGAAAATAAAAGAGAAACCTGTGTAATATCTGCAGAGCAGAACTTACCTTCCACAGCAATTATTTTTAGTTAGCATATAGCTAAAATCTAACCATGGTTATATAATAGCAGCTGCATTCTGGCACGATAAGCTGTATGTTTTATATTCAATTAACGTATGATCTGATTAGTTGACTAATTGAAAAATAATTGGTGATTAATCGATTATAAAAAGAATTGTTTGTGGCAGCCCTAATGCTGACCAGAGGTCAGTGACCCCTGTGGGTCCACTGCTTGTTCTTCAGCTAAATGAACGGTGCAGTTTGAGGGTAATCCTGCTTGTTTGACAAGCTTGCTTGTTTCTTCATGGTGGGCAGAGTTAGTCGATAACAGAAGCTGGTATGGATCTCCCTGAAACATCTGGATCAAGGTTTTTGTTTCTTTGGTGTTTTTTTGTTTTAAGACTGGCCCCAGCTGTGTTTATATGAACTATACTCAAACCCTCACAGCTCAGTGAGTAAATGCTGTTATTTATAATGTCATTAATTTCTCATTATACGGTTATTTCAGCAAAAATCATATGAAACTCCTGAGGGAAGCACTCCAGTCCAGACTCCACAGAAAGTGCTACAGCTAGCTGCTGCTGCTTCGTGCCCTCTAACATAACCTGAGAAATTGACAACAAAGATCTGTGTCATCGCTTTTGTATTAACTACTATAAAATTATTGTGTGCTATGGGATGTCATTTTAAAAATTCATTTCAGATTAATTTATCTTTACTGGTTTAAATTATTGCTGTGAAGCACTTTGCAGTTCTAGTTGTTTATAGAGTTATATGAATGAAACATAAAGTCTAGTTACTTAAAATAAAGTCACTTGCAGCTTTCCCCCAATTGTATACACTTTCAACTATTTGTTTACATTTTTTAACTTCCGGCTTTTCTCCTCGGTTGAAATCTGAAAAATAGTTTCTGTAAAAAACGCTTTTTATAAACTCACCTGTTCGCTCCAGTTACTATGATCACTTTCTCCATGTCTGAGACGAGTTGTACAAACAGGAATAAACTCCGAGCGGTTCTGTTTCTGACCAGAGCAGCCTTCAGTCCTGTCTGTCTGTCATGACCGGCCACAGGACCGGTGGCGTCGTCACGTGGTGTGACTGGGCGTCAACAAGAAATCAGCCAATCAGCTTTCGCAGGGGCGTGGAAGTTTGTAGCTCACGGGCGGAGATGTGGTGTGATTGGATATCAGCAGCCAGTCAGCCAATCAGGTTCCGCTAAGGCCAGGCAGCCCACAAGATTCAGATAAGTAGATAAGCAGAGGCGGAGTCTCCGGCGTCGTCACACGGCGGCCATCTTGGTACAGCTAGCGACGCGAGCTTTAGCTGTACCAAGATGGCCGCCGTGTGGAAACTATTGAGTGATTTACACAAACAAATATAGGCTTTACTCGCTGAAATCTTGATGGATTTACAAACAGTTTGGTTTGTCACAAAGGTTATTAACATGACTATGATTTGGGCTACTTAGACATGTTGAGAATGCAGTTTTTATTTAAAAAACGATTAATTGTGTTGCATATAGTTCACAGCTAGTTGTTATCAAGGCTGGTCAATATTTTAAACTCTTAACAAGCTAAGGTTTCCTGAGACCACTAATGATTTAACGACAAAGTAATATTTTTGTTTAAATGACACATTTAATCATGATTGTATTTATAGCAGGCTAATTGTAAAAGCCTGTGATTAAGACCTAGCTAGTAATTCAAAGTTTACCAGCAATTTTAAATGACCAGGAGCTCTTTGTTTTTAACTTAACCAAAGCTGCACCTGGTTCACAAGCAGGGTGGTTTATTAAAAACTAATTACTGCTTTGTGTTTACAGAAGTAACCTCCACAACATGCCTGACGTCTGTGCAGCCTACAGATGTTCTAACAGCTGTAGCACCAAAACAAGAACCTGTTGATCACCTTTCACCTGTAAGCTCTGTGACAATATTATTACTAGTTATACTGTGGATCTGTGCACAATACAGGTTATGCTAATGAAGAACAGTGGGACTATGTGAGATATGGACCCAAGGCTTTTTGAATATCATCCTATAATTTGTCATTCAGTCTTTCTTTTAAACACCATTTTTATAGATCATAGATGACATAAATATATTCAAATGTCACACTTTAGTAGTTATTTCTGCAAGTTTAGAATTAATGTTTTGTTGATCACAGCACATTTAGACAGTTTTTTTTCACTCATGTTTATTTTAGCTGGTAGAAACAAGAAGCAGAACCACATTGAAGACGACCTGCAGATGAACCTCGGTCTGATGCTGTGTAGATTGATTCATGTTCACAACTGATAAGTGAATATTGAATTGTTAACTATTTAATTTCCACATTACTATTGTTTGTATATTTTGCCAAAGCAGCATGGAGCCACTGGAGAGAGGTGAAAGCAGTCCACTGACCACCCATACCCACTGCCTGCTGTCTCAAGGCTTTACGCACTAAACTGAAGCAGCCTGAGAGAGGAAACTGCAGATGGAGAAGTCTAATGCCTTGGCAAGAGAAAGGAGGGCCAAGAAAAACTATAATATATGTAGTTAAGAGGACTAGACTCAAGAAAATATTTGATATACTCGTATTTTTCGGACTATAGCCGCCACTTTTTTCCTGAACTTTGAACCATGCGGTTTATAGTCCGGTGCGGCTTATACGTGGATTTTTTTCCTTCAGCCACCAGGGGGCTCTAAAGGGCTCGAAACACGGGCAGCGACAAACTACAGCGATTAACGGCTGTCATCGCAGCCAGGGTGAAACCCGACACACGGGACGCGATAGCGATCGCAGCGTTGCGAATCGCGCTCTCAGGTCGCTTGTCTTCACTAAAATTTGATTGGTTCTTGACTCTGAAGGCGGGTGTGCATTACGGACGTGTAAACTAAACAAATCTTGCGATGCTAATGATATTGAAAAACAAACACACTTCAAGATACAGTTTTATGAGGAAAAACTTACCATAAACTTCACCCTGGTGCCAATAAATTCCCACAAAGCTTTTTAGTAATCACTTGGTGAAAGTGTTAGCTAACAGCAGTGTGTAGCATACTCTCCTCTCATTGGTCAGTCAATGAAACCCTTGCTGATTGGTTGTACGCTAAGCGACAGTGACAAAAGTTGAACATTTTTCAACTTTCATATGTCGCGTTGCAAGCTCGCGTGTGCACGTCTACGTGTACGAGCGTGAAATTTCACATGCACTATTTACGCCGGTCGCTTAGCTGGAGGAGGGCAAGCGATTGTCGCCTCACCGCACAGGCTCCATAGGAAATGAATGGAGAGCGAGCGACATCGCCTCCCGTGTGTCGAGCCTTTATGCTGCATTTGCTTCAACCACTCGCTTCAAAAAAAGACGAAAAAAAAGAAAAAAGCGATCTTCCAGAGCCGACTGTTGTACCAGGAAGCAGCGATTTAAAGATAGTCAATGGCCAAAAACTCGTAAAAGGGGATAAAACAGACATTTTTCATGGAGGAATCTGACTGATAAAAACTTTGGAGCTTAATCCAGGACCAGTTTGTGGATAAACGTTGAGTGAAGAGCCACGGACTTTCTTTTCCCTCATTGCACTCCCCGGGGAAGGAATCCCATGCAGTGACGTATGCTGGAGCGGGAGGGCTTTCCCAGCAGCTGACTGACGGGGATAAATCATTCACAAAAACTGGCTGAATGTGAAGAGCGACATTTCCTGATGTCTGCCAGTGGATCCTAACAGCGTGGAGCAGAGTGAATGAGTCCACCWTCACCAATGGGTTCTGAAAGGCTGGACTGCTACGTGAAGCAGGCACCACAGCTTCAGAGCCAGCCCGGGAGGACAGCGACACAGAAACTGAACAGGTACCACTGTGTGACGCAGCTTGTTTAACTCAGACAATGAAGAGGACAGACGGTTTCAGTGCACCAGAGGAAGATGAATGAGACGTTTTGTTGGACCAGAAACGGTTAAAGAAAACTACCAAAATAAGGTCAGTTAAATGAACCGTATTCCTCCGAACTTTACCGGTAATTTCCAAAGGTTTGCTTTTTATGTTTTAATTCCAGACCTCTCGCCTTTTTTTCCCCAAGAGTTATTATTATTATTATTA